ACCCCTTTGTGGAAGCATACGAGAAGCACGGCCTGTCATTGAACATTGAGAAAACCAAATTGCTCTTCCAGCAGTCACCAGACAACCCCTCTCCAATGCCAGAAATGCAGCTTAATGGTGTAACATTAGAAAATGTTGACCATTTCCGCTACTTTGGTAGCCACCTCTCCACAAAAGTCAACATTGACACTGAAATACAACACTGCTTGAGCTCTGCGAGTGCAGCATTTTTCTGAATGAAGCAGGGAGTGCTGAGTGAGGACCCGGACATCCATAGGGATACCAAGGTGCTTGTTTATAAACTATTGTCCTCCCAACCCTGCGAAAGGTGGACTATCTACAGATGTCACATGCAACTCCTGGAACGATTCCATCAGTGTTGCCTCTGAAAAATCCTGCAAATCTCTTGGGAAGACAGGCGGACAAATGTCAGTGTTCTGGAAGAAGCAAAGACCACCAGCACTGAAATTATGGTCCTCCACCATCAACTCCACTGGACCGGCCACATTGTTCGGATGTCCAATCACCGTTTCCCAAAGCAGTTGCTCTACTCTGAACTCAAGAACGGAAAATTGAATGTTGGAGGACAGGAAAATATCTTTAAAGATGGGCTCAAAGCCAAGGTTAAAAACTGTGGTATTGACACTGAGAACTGGGACGCCCTGGCCCTTGAGCACTACAGCTGGAGCTCAGCTGTGACCAACAATGGTGTAGAATTTGAAGAGGCACGAATGGAGGGCAAAAGAGAGAAATGTGCCAAGAGGAAGTCGCATCAAGCCAACCTGGACCAGGACCACCTTCCACCTGAAAACCAATGCCCTCACTGTGGGAGAAGATACAGATCAAGAATAGGGCTCCATAGTCACCTATGGACCCACTGCCAGCACACCGATCTTGAAAGACAATCTTACTTGGACAACGAGAGATCACTTAAGTAAGTAAATAAGTACCAAACCATCCATTTGAGAGTTTTAATTGGAATGTTTATCCTTTCAGGGAATTTCCACCCCAAAGAGTTCATTTGTTTGTCACTGGTTAAACACTGGGAGATTCATCAAACAGATTAAGCAAGTCACATGTTCTGCAGTGTTGATTTTTTCACAGCAAAGGTTGGCGAACTCCTCACTGTACAGAGTCATGGTGCATCTACACTGCAGAATTAAAGCAGTTTGACATCGATGGCTCAATGTTATGGAATCTTGGAAGTTGTAGTTTGACAAAGTCAAGGTCTTGAGCCTTCTCTGCCACATCATGCTGGTGCCTCACCAAACCACAACTCCCAGGAATCCATACCATTGTGTATGGTGGTTAAAGTGACATCAAACTGTGTAGATGCAGCACAAGCTTAACAAAACTTCCACTGCTCATATATCAGAGCAAGGGAATCAACATCAGCAGCTGGAATGAACAAAAGAGAGTCAAGACAAAGACCCACCTAGAGGAAAAGTCTTCCTGCCATATATCAAGGGAATCACTGACTGCCTAGGGAAGCTGATGAGGAAGCACAACCTACAAACTATCTACAGACTCACCAAGAAATTCCGACCAATGCTACAGCAAAGGACAAGAGGGATCCTCTCGCTTCTGCAGGAGTCTACCGTATACCATGCAGCTATGGCCAAGTCTACAGAGGGACCACCAAACGCAGCAGCATTGCCCAGACACGCATCAAGGAACATGAAAGGCAACACAGACTACTTCAACCAGAGAAGTCAGCCATAGCAGAGCACCTGATGAACCATCCTGGACACAGCATATTATTTGAGAACACAGAAATGCTGGACCACTCTCACAACCACCATGTCAGACTACATAGAGAAGCCACTGAAATCCACAAGCATGTGGACAATTTCAACAGAACGGAGGAAACCATGAAAATGAACAAAATCTGGCTACCGGTATTAAAAAAACTCAAAAATTACAACAGCAAAACCACAGATATGAAACAATCAGGCACATCTAATCACCTCTCAACAAAAGATTGCCCCAGGCACTGCCAGGCCATCAAATCAAGGTGGTCAGTTGAAACATTCACACTTAGCTCCAGCAGACAAGAGTCCTTTGTCCCACCCTGGTCATTCCACAGATATATAAACCCTCTTTCCTAGTTCCAACAGACCTCACAACCTCTAAGGATGCCTGCCATAGATGTGGATGAAACATCAGGAGAGAATGCTTCTCGAACATAGTCAGACAGCCCCGAAAACTAACTGCAACCCAGTGATTCCAGCCATTTTTTTATGTTGTGTCAGGAGTGACTTGAGAAACTGCAAGTCACTTCTGGTGTGAGAGAATTGGCCGTCTGCAAGGACGTTGCCCAGGGGACGCCCAGATGATTTGATGTTTTATCATCCTTGTGGGAGGCTTGTGTCCCCACATGAGGAGCTGGAGCTGATATAGGGAGCTCATCTGCCTCTCTCCAGATTTGAACCTGCGACCTGTTGGCCTTCAGTCCTGCTAGCACAGAGGTTTAACCCACTGCGCCACCGGGGGCTCCTTGATTCCAGCCATGAATACCTTCGACAACACATAATTGGTAATGACAGGGGCTCATCTAATCACCTCTCAACAAAAGATTGCCCCAGGCACTGCCAGGCCATCAAATGCTAATCAAGGTGGTCAGTTGAAACATTCACACCTAGCTCCAGCAGACAAGAGTCCTTTGTCCCACCCTGGTCATTCCACAGATATATAAACCCTTTTTCCTAGTTTCCAACAGACCTCACTACCTCTGAGGATACTTGCCATAGATGTGGATGAAACGTCAGGAGAGAATGCTTCTCGAACATAGTCAGACATCCCCGAAAACTAACAGCAACCCAGTGATTCCAGCCATGAATACATTCGACAACACATAATTGGTAATGATAGGGGCTCATCTAATCACCTCTCAACAAAAGATTGCCCCAGGCACTGCCAGGCCATCAAATGCTAATCAAGGTGGTCAGTTGAAACATTCAACTGGCTGTTCGAGCAGGCGTTCGAATAATGAGTGCAATGATTGGTTAATGAACACTGGAATGGATCAATGGATGACGAATCTGGATCATGTTTTTGATGATGAGACGATAGTGAATAGCTATTGTAGTAATTGTTAATTGTTTATTGTTTATTAATTGTGCAACTGTATTAAGTTGATAACTGCTTTTATACTGTAACATTGAATTTTGCTGTCTCTTGTTGTTGTGAACTGCTGTGAGTCGCCTTCGGGCTGAGAACAGCGGTATATAAGCAAGGTAAATAATAATAGGGCCTTCTCGGTGGTGGCTCCCCGGCTGTGGAACGCCCTTCCCACAGACATTAGATTAGCACCATCTCTAATGGTATTCCGCAAAAAAGTAAAGACCTGGTTGTTTGTGCAGGCGTTCGAATAATTCGTGCAATGACTGGCAATGACATAGGAATGGAACAATGGATGACGAATCTGGATCATGTTTTTTAGTGAAGAGACGCTATTGAATGATTATTATAGTAATTGTATACTAACTGTGTATTAGATTGTTTATTAACTGTTTTATATTGGTGTATTAAACTTTGCTGTGTCTTGTGTCCTGTTAACCGCTGTGAGTTGCCTCTGGGCTGAGAACAGCGGTATAGAAGTAAAGTAAAGTAAATAAATAAATAAATAATAATAATAATTCACACCTAGCTCCAGCAGACAAGAGTCCTTTGTCCCACCCTGGTCATTCCACAGATATATAAACCCATTTTCCTAGTTCCAACAGACCTACCTCTGAGGATACTTGCCATAGATGCAGGTGAAACGTCAGGAGAGAATGCCTCTAGAACATGGCCATAGTGTTTCTCAACCTGGGGGTCGGGACCCCTGGGGGGTCACGAGGGGGTGTCAGAGGGGTCCCCGAAGACCATCAGAAAACACAGTATTTTCTATTGGTCATGGGGGTTCTGTGTGGGAAGTTTGGCCCCATTCTATCATTGGTGGGGTTCAGAATGCTCTTTGATTGTAGGTGAACTATAAATCCCAGCAACTACAACTCCCAAATGTCAAGGTCTATGTTCCCCAAACTCCATCAGTGTTCACATTTGTGCATATTGAGTATTCGTGCCAACTTGGTCCAGATACATCATTGTTTGAATTCACAGTGCTCTCTGGATGTAGGTGAACTACAACTCCCAAACTCAAGGTCAATGCCCACCAAAACCTTCCAGTATTTTCTGTTGGTCATGGGAGTTCTGTGTGCTAAGTTTGGTTCAAGTCCATTGTTGGTGTAGTTCAGAATGCTTTTTGGATGTAGGTGAACTATACATCCCAGCAACTAGAACTCCCAAATGTCAAGGTCTATTTCCCCCAAACTTCACCACTGTACATATTTGGGCATATTGAGTATTTGTGCCAAGTTTGGTACAGAACCATCATTGTTTGAGCCCACAGTGCTCTCTGGATGTAGCTGAACTACAACTCCCAAACTCAAGGTCAACGCCCACCAAACCCCATCCTCCAACCAATCCTCCCATCCCAACCCCACCACTATTCAAATTTGGTCATATTGGGTATTTGTGCCAAATTTGGTCCAGTGAATGAGAATACATCCTGCATATCAGATATTTCCATAACGATTCAGAACAGGAGCAAAATTACAATTATGAAGTAGGAACGAAAATAATGTAATGGTTGGGGGTCACCACAACATGAGGAACTGTATGAAGGGGTCACGGAATTAGGAACGTTGAGAACCACTGTCCTACAACAACCCAATAACAACCTTCTTCCAGGACTCAGGAGTTGAGATTAACTCGGTTTGCGATTGCTTTTCCTTGGGAGAGGCGAGCAGGCGGTGTTTTTGTTTTGGTCCTGTTCGATAAGCTCCGCCTCTCGACTTATCATTCTGGGGTGAAGTGGAATAGCAAAAAGAGGAAATAGGCGGACCGCCCCCTGCCCGCCGATTGGCTGTTGCGCCGCCGGTGAGAACGGGATTGGTTGGCGCGCCCCCCTTATATAGGTCCCCGGGGCGCGCGCCGCCTCAGTCCGCTCTCCGCCGCCGGAGGAGAAGGTTGTTGTGTGGAGGGAAGGGGAAGGCGGAGTTTCCCCGTTACTGCGAGATGTGCTGAGGCGATGGTGCCGCCGTCCTCCCCGCTCCTGGCCCTCCTCGTTCTCCTCCTTTTCCCCGGCGAGCAAGGCCTCTCCCAGAGACACCTGAGGGGCGGAAGAAGAAGGGCCCCGGGGCCCCCCGTCGTCTTGGGTAAGGGCCCCTGCCCACGCGCGGGGTTATTGGTGTGTGGGAGGCCCCTGGAGTGGGCATTGCGCGTGGGAATGGAGTGTTCGTGTGCCTTTGAGGGGGAGGTGGCGGGTATGCCTGGCTGGAGCTACGCGGGCAGAGAAAATCCGGATTATCTGCTTTGAATCGGATTATATTTCAGAGTAGGCTCATATAATCCGGTTTAAAGAAAATCCGGATTATCTCTTTTGAATCGGAGTATATGCCAGTATAGGCTCATATAATCCGGTTTAAAGAAAATCCGGATTATCTGTTTTGAATCGGAGTATATGCCAGTGTAGGCTCATATAATCCGGTTTAAAGAAAATCCGGATTATCTGCTTTGAATAGGATTATATTTCAGTGTAGGCTCATATAATCCAGTTTAAAGGAGGCCACCTGCATTATTTGGTTTGGTAATCTGAATTATGTGATAGTGTACAATGGGCCAAAGAAAATCTGGATTATCTGCTTTGAATCGGATTATATTTCAGTGTAGGTTTATGTAATCCGGTTTAAAGAAAATCCGGATTATCTGCTTTGAATCAGATTATATTTCAGTGTAGGCTCATCTAATCCGGTTTAAAGAAGACCACCTGAATTATTTGCTTTGATAATCTGAATTATATGATAGTGTACAACGGGCCAAAGAAAATCTGGATTATCTGCTTTGAATTGGATTATATGTCAGTGTAGGCTCATATAATCCGGTTTAAAGAAAATCCGGATTATCTGCTTTGAATCGGATTATATTTCAGAGTAGGCTCGTATAATCTGGTTTAAAGGAGACCATCTGCATTATTTGCTTTGCTAATCTGAATTACATGATAGTGTACAACGGGCCAAAGAAAATTTGGATTATCTGCTTTGAATCGGATTATATATCAGTGCAGGTTCATATAATCCAGTTTAAAGGAGACCATCGGCATTATTTGCTTTGATAATCTGAATTATATGATAGTGTACAATGGGCCAAAGAAAATCTGGATTATCTGCTTTGAATCGGATTATATTTCAGTGTAGGCTCATATAATCCGGTTTAAAGGAGACCACCTGCATTATTTGCTTTGGTAATCTGGATTATATGATAGTGTAGAACGGGCCAGTGACTGGATCTACATGGCCAAAGAAATCTGGATTATCTGCTTTGAATCGGATTATATGTCGGTGTAGGCTCATAATCCGGTTTTAAGAAGACCACCTGAATCATTTGCTTTGATAATCTGAATTGTATGATAGTGTAGAACAGCCCAGTGACTGGATCTATATGGCCAAAGAAAATCTGGATTATCTGCTTTGGGTCGGATTATATACTCATATAATCCAGTAGACTCATATAATCCAGTTTAAAGAAGACCATCTGGATCATTTGCTTCGATAGTCTGGATTATATTGTTTTAGAAGGGTCCTGAGGCAGGATCTACACAAGCAAAGAAAATCCGGATTATCTGCTTTGAACCGGATTATATGGCAGTGTACACACACAGTTCGGTTTAAAGAAGACCTTTTGGATTATTTGCTTTGATAATCTGGAGTATATGGTTGTGTAGACGGGTCCAGTGCCTGGATCTACACAACCAAACAAAATCCGGATTATTTGCCTTTAATTGGATTTTTTTGCCAATGTAGACTCATATAACCTGGTTTAAAGAAGACCACCTGGAATATTTGCTTTGATAATCTGATTATATTCTTGTGTAGGAAGAGCTTGAATCTACACGGCCAAAGAAAGTCCGAATTATCTGCTTTGAACCGGATTACATGTCAGTGTAGACACATAATCCGGTTTAAAGAAGACCATCTGTTTTATTTTGATAATCTGGATTATATGGTAGTGTAGAAGGGTCCTGGTTCTGCATGGCCAAAGAAAATCTGGATTATCTATATATGTGTTGTGTTTGTATTTGGGAGTTGTGAATGTGGGGGTTGTGTTTACATATATGTGGGCTGCGTGTGGTTGTATATATGTATGGGAAAGATTGTGTTTTTAGTGCAGGGGCTGTATATATTTGCAGGGAAGTTGTGTTTGTATATATATATATGTGTGTGTTGTGTTTGTATCTGGGGGTTGCGTGTGTATGTGTGGGAAATTGTGTTTACATATGTGCATGGTTGCATGTATGCATGGGAAAGATTGTGTATATTTCTGCAGGGGCTGTATATGTTTGTGGGGGTTGTGCATGTTTGCAGGAAAGTTGTGTATATATGTGTTTCGTTTATATGTGGAGGTTGTGTGTGTATGTGTGGGAAGTTGTGTTTACATATGTGCATGGTTACATATATGTTTGGGAAAGATTGCGTTATATTTGTGCAAGGGCTGTTTGTGAGGGTTGTGCATGTTTGCAGCAAAGTTGTGTATATATGTGTTTTGTTTATATGTGGAGGTTGTGTGTGTATGAGTGGGAAGTTGTATTTATGTGTGAGCTGTTTGTGTGGTTGTATGTATGGGACCGGTTGTGTATTTTTGTGCAGGGGTTGGGTGTGTGTGGGTTTTGTTGGGGGGTTGCATATGGAGGGGAGCCCACAGTGGTGCAGTGGTTTAAACTGCTGAACTGCTGGACTTGCTGATTGAAAGGTCGGAGGTTTGAATTTGGAGAGCGGCGTGAGCTCTTGCTGTTAGCCTCAGCTCCTGCCAACGTAGCAGTTTGAAAACATGCAAATGTGAGTAGATCAATCGATACTACTTTTGCAGGAAGGGGAAGGGGAGTTTAGGGGAAATTGACCTTGACATTTGGGAGTTGTAGTTACTTGGATTTATAGTTCACCTACAATCAAGAGCATTCTGAACTCCACCAACGATGGAATTGAACCAAACTTGGCACACAGAACTCCCATGACCAACAGAAAATATTGGAAGGAGTTTGGTGGGCATTGACCTTGAGTTTTGGAGTTGTAGTTCACCTACATCCAGAGAGCACTGTGGACTCAAACAATGATGGATCTGGACCAAACTTGGCACAAGAACTCAATATGCCCAAATATGAACACTGGTGGAGTTTGGTGGAAATAGTCCTTGACATTTGGGAATGGTGGTTGCTGGGATTTATAGTCCACCTACACAACTCCCTCTGTGTTCATATTTGAACGCATGGAATATTAATGCCAAATTTGGACCAGATCCATCATTGTTTGAGTCTGGATGTAGGTGAACTACAACTCCCAAACTCAAGGTCAATGCTCACCAAACCCTTCTAGTGTTTTCTAGTGTTCCCTGTGCGCCACGTTTGGTTCAATTCCATCGTTGGTGGTGTTCAGAATGCTCTTTGATTGTAGGTGAACTATAAATCCCAGGAACTACAACTCCCAAATCACGAAATCAATTTTTTTGAGTGAAGGACATACATTGGGTTATTAGGTGTCTTGTGTCCAAATTTGTGTCAATTCGTCCAGTGGTTTTTGAGTTCTGTTAATCCCACAAAATCAAAGAACATTCTGAACTCCACCAATGATGGAATTGAACCAACTGGCACACAGGACTCCCATGACAACAGAAAACTCGAAGGGTTTGGTGGGCATTGACCTTGAGTTTTGGAGTTGTAGTTCACTTCCATCCAGAGAGCACTGTGGATTCAAACAATGATGGATCTGGACCAAACTTGGCACAAATATTCCGTATGCCCAAATATGAACACTGGTGGAGTTTGTGGAAAATAGACCGTAACATTTGGGAGTTGTAGTTACTGCGATTTATAGTTCACCTACAATCAAAGAGCATTCCGAATCCCACCAGTGATAGAATTGGCAAACTTCCCACACAGAACCCATGACCAACAGAAAATACTTAAGGCCATCCAGTCCAACTCCCTTCACGAGGGCAAGAAAATGTAATAAAGCCCTCCTGACAAAGAGCCATCCAGCCATAGATATAGATAGATATGATGCACACACACAGAGATATAGTATCATAGATTTGAATGGGACCCCTAAATAAGGACAATGATATGTTGCATATTCCAGAGTAGGCCAACCAGAAAATCTCCACATCAACACTGGCAAATAAACAACTAGAAATACTGTTTACCCACAAGTATAATGAAATTACATTTATAAGAAACCATTACTTTCTCTTTACGTTATTTTCCAGATCACCAGACTGGCCACAGCAATGCGTGGCAGGCGATGGCTAGTAAATAGTGGCAAGTGGCAGGGGATGGCTAGTAAATAAACGATCTGTCAACTGCAAAAGGCCACCTTACTTGGATCATTTGAAAATACATCACACAGTTCTAAACACTTGGGAAGTGTTCGAATTGGGATTTTTGATTCGAAATCCAGTATATATATCTCAATTGCTGTGTTATACTGTGTTTTTACTGTAATTTTACTGTGTCAGTAAAACTGCAACAATAATAATAAACCTTGGCCTGCACTTAAACACAATTGGCCCTGACAAAATTATCATCTGTCAGCTGCAAGAGGCCACCCTATTGGGATCTGCATGCATTATTCGCCGATACATCACACAGTCCTAGACACTTGGGAAGTGTCCGACGTGTGATCCAATACAACAGCCAGCAGAGTGTCTGCTGTGGACTCATCTTGTTGTGCTTCAAATAATAATAATAATAATAACAATAATAATGCCATCAAAGCAAGAATTGAAAAATCTGACTACAGATTCCAAGCGTAGACTCTGCAAGGAAGCAGATGAAACAAAAGTTCATATCAGCTGCTGCAAGAAGATCGCGGAGATAGACTACAAGCAGAGGCACAACACCGTTGCTCAGATGATTCATTGGAACTTGTGCCACAAACACAATTTTCCTGCGACAAAGAACTGGTGGGATTACAAGATGGAAAATGTTAGAGAATGAACCTGTCAAGCTATTCTGGGACTTCTGGATTCAGACAGACGGAGTTTTGGAGAGTAATACTCCTGACCTCACGGTCGTGTTAAAAAACAAAGTATGGATTGTCGATGTCGCAATCTCAGGAGACAGCAGGATTGAAGAGAAACAACTCGAAAAGCATACAAGATATGAAGA